ATATCCTGCGTAGGGAAAGTATCGTTCATTGTCGAAATATCTCGATGAAAAGGACAGAGCACCACCACATTTCACTAAACTCTCACTGGAACTCGCAACGCGACTCAACACTAACCTCGCTATCATGTTTGCGCGGTTACACATTCAATATGGCGCCGGGAACTCCAAATTCGTCGCTTACGACCCTCGCTACACATGTGACCTTTCGGGGTTACAGTGACGTCACGTGAAAACGATCTATTGATGACTGTAATCTATCACATCGAGCACGTGAAGAGTAACATGATACAGGATTAACCTCAACTCTAAATAAAACTAAATCGGAAGTTACGTCAGCTGCACACGTCCGTAGCGCAAAGTTTAAATCTAACAACTGAATACAAATTGTTTAGTAAACCATAAACAAAAAGTAGTTGGTCACCAATGCTAAAACAAAGGACAACAATCATCAATAGTCTTGAACTGACTTATGACTATAGCACTATGTAATATGTCAATCGATAGGAAATTTTAAAACTTTTTTCATGGAGCTTCGGCCTCCAATTCGCACTTGGAACTACGAAAACGTAGTGCAAATATCTTGAAATTAACGCGATTTCATCCGATTTTTTTTCCTATACAACCTTAAACCGATTTACTACTGATTTGAATACTTAGTTTGGTTTGCACTGATAAGGTGATTTCTACACACTTCTATATCTTTATTTAGATTCATACAGAGAGGTTTCTGAAAGCTATGACATCGTCACATCTATATCTTTATCATTGCATCTTGCAACAACTTCTTCCAGAATCCCACTTAAAATGCCTCAGCTCACAAAGTAGGTGTGAGTTTGCAAAGGGGAGAATTCTACTCTATAACTTCATTCTAACTGTTGCTTGTTCGAAGTGATTCCCTCAGGGTTCTAACATAGCTCCAGCTCAGGTATTACTTCAGCAATAGTAGGGCGTTTTCCAGGCTTCCTTTCCACACATCGCTGAATGAGCTGACGGAAGGTATTATGGGAAACCCGTTTAATCTGATTAAGAAGACCTCGGGGATCAGGTAGTTCTCTGATGCACATCTCACACAATAGGACACCATAGCTGTACACATCCACCTGGTTAGGAAGAAAAATAATTCAGCAGACAAATTAAAAAGTTCAGGACATTTATACCGGTGTAGCCTTCCTCACGGCAGTCAAAGTCACGACACCCAAACTATTAACCAACCCATAGGAACTCTAACAAACAGCGTGGAAGTTTTTCACAAAGATCATATTTATTTAAAAAAATTACCTGACACCAGTTGTAACTTCACACCTTTCAATGGTGGGTTAGGAAGTAGAATTGCACCTAGCTTGTTACAATAGAGTAACTAAAACGTGCTAACGCCCTCCCTCGACCGGACTACGGGAAAGCTAAACAGAAAATGTTTACCTTTGGTGATTGTTTTAGAGTAAAAGCTTCTGGTGCTGAATAAATCATAGCCCCTGGATTTGCTGTCATGCACTTTTGCATAAAGTTTGCCGCTCCATAGTCAGACAACTTAGCCCTCCAACAATCGTCTCTTCTCCAAAGCAACACGTTTGCACTGCTGATATCCCTATGAATGATGGGAAGCGGTTTGTTAAGATGGAGGTAGTTAAGACCTTTAGCGACGTCTAAAGCAAGGTTCAAAACTTCCTTGGGAGTTAGTTCTCGTTCGGATAACAAACGCCTCAGGCAACTATCGAGTAACTCAGTTACAAACAATGGACTACCATCGTTATTTGTTGCGCCAATAAACTGCAACAGATTTGGATGGCGACAGCGCGATGCGATGTTCATTTCTCGTTCAAATAGTCGACGATTGTGATCAGAGAGAATTAGTTCACGAATTTCTTTAACAGCAACTTTGGAACCGCGAAAAGTTCCCTCTCTAACAGATCCCCAGGCTCCATTGCCTAAGACTTTTCTGCGAAGAGTAACTTCTTCACGTAGTATGATCCAGTCTCGCGTGTTGCATCGTAGCTCTGACAATTCCGCTTGAGTTGTAGACAGGGCTAATTGTAAATCTCTTTCAATGGTTGCATGCCTATCCATTTCCTCTGCAATTTGAAGCTGCAGACGTCTTACTGTTTCCTCCAAAGCTGTCTTCTGTCGACGCCCCTCTTCAACTTCAAGTCGTAGTTCTCTAATAGAGAGCTCATTTGCTTCGAGCTGGAGTTGGAGAGATTGACTTGATACTTGTTCGGTTTTCAATCTTTCTTCCAGTTCAGAACGAGACTTTTGCTGTTGGCTCAACTGTTTTTGTAGGTCCGATTTTTCTTGTTGAGTTTCTTTAAGAAGTAACTGTAATTTCTCAGGAAGTTTTCTGGGAAACTCTGATGGACTCACATCCTTTGCTCTTTCGCTGTCATTCCGGTCAGCGTCTTCATTTCTTAAATTCTGAAGTTTTGACAGAGTACTCTTCATCTTGTTTTGTTGTGCTATGCCACCACATTGAACAATAGCTTGCAGCAGATAACCACGTGACATTTTCACTTGTTTCAAGCTTCCTGACATCATGAAAGTCCTACTAGCTTCAAACCACTTGATCCCGGTCTTGTCAGCTATTTGCTCTTGGATACCTTTTGTTTGTTGACGGGTGAGAAATTCGACGATCGCTGGGCATATCTCTACAGATACCAGCTAAGCTGCCTGAATTAGTAACAAAAAGATGCCTAATTAAAAAGTCTGAACTAGAAGACAATGAGGAGCTATAAAGGTCGATCAATATCGTCCAATAAGTGTAAAGTTCAAGGAGCCAAATAGGGGTAAAATCAGCTGCTACAAAAACTTATAACATTTCGATGGTTGGGCTGAGATGGGACTCTTTGAGTAACTGATTTTCTTCAATTTTGTAGAAGAAAAAGGGCATTAACTTTTAGAGTTTTCAATAGAAATGTCGGTCGATAGAGAGTAAAGAGACGTTCCGATATATCTGAAAAAAGAAAACAGAAAATTCAGATACAGAGCAAAGGAGAAATTGGTGCCAAAATTAACGCATGAAGCTTGAAAATTTAAAATAATGTCATTATAATTATCAAAAAACAAAAGCAATGTTTCAAGGAGTTATATTTGAGTATTTTAGTTGTAATGTTAGAAAGCTAAGTTTTGAAGTAGGTACCCCCTCGTCAACCGCGGCATACGGTTGCACAGCTAAAACAATTCCCTTGAAGGTCTGTCTCGTCTTCAGAACTGATTTCGCAACTAAAATTGAAAAAATTGAAATGTCAGATTAGTAACTGTGTTTGACATATCCCGTGTACACTGTTTTGCGATCTTATATTTTGTTTTGTTTTTATTTTCTTTTTCATCTTTTAGAGAATAATTAAAAATCACTCACCCCCCTACATCGACTTCCTATATTTGTTTAAATAAATAACAAGGTGATCTCGATCTTCAATATATTTAAAATGGTTTAAATATTCTGGCAGGATTTAAGGTTAGGATTAGTTTAATTCTTTTGATTCTAAAGAGGTCCCCCATTTTACCTTCCAGACAGTACAATTATTAAAACAGGCAGAATTATCAAGTAAGTAAAGTTTTAAAAAACTTCTGTAAAACCTGTAATTTGTCATCTAATTTTTATGCAAAATTTTAACAAAATTTAAAACACAATGAAAGACATGACATCTCTCCCCCCACCATGTACTATAGTGGTGGTATAAGGGAAGGGGGAAGTGGGTGACAGCTGCTTATTCACTTGTTATAACTCTCACGATTTATTGCTGAATTTTACAATAAAGTTTTAAAAAAACTTCTGGAAAAACTGTAATTTGTCATCTTATCTGTACACAACATTATAATGAAAAACATGAAAGGGTTTCATTCAACCTTCCCCCCACCATGTACCAAAGTGGTGGTATTAAAGGGAGGGGGAGGGGGTGAGAGCTTTTATGTCTGACGATTTATGCCCTCTCTGGAGTTAACTAGTTTGCTATTCTGGCACTCAATGTGTTAATGACTTTCAAATCCAATTTTGTCCAGTTTTTAAATTTGAGCTAATTTAAAGTGTTTTCAGCTATAGCACTGAAGGTGCAATCTGATTGGCTGTCAACCTCTGAATATAATTTGCCATTAACCTTCAAGAAACACTATGTGGAACTTGCACCCTAAAATATTTTTAGGAATATTAATACTGTTGGGAATTAAAATGAGTACGGTTATTAAATCATCTTTTGTGTTATATTACCTTAGTGTTTCAGAATATGCCAAATCAACTATGCACCTCAGTGTTAGTGGCTAACCATTAACTATGTATTATATAATTCACCTTCCCACTTTGCAATTTGGTAAATACGCACTTCTAGCCACCTCCTTTGTGGTGAATTAAGTTGTAAGCAAATGGGATAGTTCTAAATGTGATGAATAGGGTACTTCTAAATTACTGAATAATCTATGAATCTTAACACTATATAATTTGAAGCGAAATAACTCAACTTGCTCGGGATTCATTGCATTTAATAACTTGGTGACTTTAAATGTGATGTCATAATAACTAGTGTGTAAATTAGTAGGCCATTTTGTTGGGGAGTGCTTGAGCAAGTTGCAAAGCCACAGGAGCAAAATAGCCTACAAGGAGATTGTATAACAAGTCAGTGAAGTCTTTTGAAACCTCAGAACATAATAAACAATAAAGCTGCCAAAAAATTGTGAAAAATATAGACAAAACTGTTGCATGAAATCAAATTTAAGTAATAATAAACAAAATATTTGCTCGCAGAAATAGAATTTTTATGCATTCTCTCTTTGACCCGGGTTTATTTCACAATCACGGGGGACTGGGTTTGGGTCAGGGGTCAATGGCCATTACGCTTGACCTCCTCTGAGGGTTTTTACAAGTCACATGAACTCCCAAGCCATGTACTCATCATTCGCCTGGATTACTCGGAGTGAGAAGCTGTCTTTTGACTTGCTACGTGGTAAGTTTTTATACGTTTTTATATTCACCGCCATTTCGTCTTTTTCGGTAGGAATTGGCTTCTTGCTTTCGAGCCTCTCGTTTACTATTCCATGCCAATTTTCGGTCCCCGCGTATCGTTGTTGCGGTTCATTGCCGTGTTGTTTTCACACTTTCCTCCCCGATTGTTCTGGTTTTCCATTCATTTCCATGGCTTCTTCTGCCCCTTCAGTTCTGTTATTAGGTCATTCTTTTATTCGAAGGCTTCGGGATGACCTTCGTTCGCATTTCGATTTACGGTCTCATGACACTTTTGGTCTCTCCGATGACGCCATTTTTCATTTACACGACGTTGGCAGCCTTACGGTGGCAAGATTGCGCAGCGACCTCGGAATTGTTTCCTCTTTGTCCCCTCAAGTTGTTATTTTGGAATTAGGTACGAATGATCTTGCTCGCCTTCCCCCTGAAGTTGCCGGCTCGGAAATTGAAGAGTTAGTACCAATACTCCTTGACACTTTTTCGGTTCGGGTCATCGGTGTGTGCGAGGCGTTACCTCGTGTTAGAGCGCCTTTTTTCAACGACGCTGCATCGATACTTAGTCAATATCTTCGTGGCGTTTTAGAGCCCATTCCTAATGTTTTTTGCTGGTGTCATAGGGGTTTTAACAACCCTTTGGTTGACCCTTATTTGTCCGACGGGGTTCATGTGAACTCTTTTGGTCAATATTGTTTGTACCGCAGCTACCGAGGCGTCGTTTTAAAGGCGCTTCGCATGCTGTCTTCTTGACAGGCTTCCTAGATTAACCTTTGTTTTATTCGTTTATTCATTTATTTGTTTGTGTCCTGTATCGTTAATTTTGTTACTCAGGGCATTTGTGGGACGAGCTATGCATGTCCTTGCCCGTCTTTATTTATTATTTATTTGGGGCAGTGTGGGGCTTGCTACTCTGGAAACTTCTGTTAGCCAAACTCGTCATTGCCCGTCTTCATTTAGTATTTATTTGGGGCAGTGTTGGGCTTGCTACTGCGACAACTTCTGTTAGCCAAACTTGTCCTTGCCCGTCTTTATTTAGTATTTCTTTGGGGCAGTGTGGGACTTGCTACTGCGGCAACTTCTGTTAGCCATGCTTGTCCTTCCCCGTTTGGATTTGTTATTTATTTGGGGCAGTGTAGGGCTTGCTACTGCTTGTCCTTGCCCTTTCTTGTTTAATTTTACTTGTCTCATTTCACCCTCTGTGGTTTAATTTTACCATTGCCTGTTTATGTTAGCTGTTTACCTGTTTTGTTGTTGTTGAAGACCCAAGTAGCCTCGTTCCTTGAGAGCTGGTTTCTGCCTTTTTCTTCTTATTTTGTTTATCAGATGCCACCCCGACGATTTACTAGGTCAAAATGACCTTCTCGTCAAGCGTTAGTCTCTCTGGTGGCTCCACCTCATCGGAGGAGGCGTACTGCAGCTCCCAGTTTACCATCCAGTGGTAATGACAGTGACCTACCCTCTCAGCCAGCAGTTCTTCATTCTGTGCCATCTTCTCATGCCTCTGAGCGCACTATTTCTGCAACCATACCCGCCTTTCCCCCGGCCCTGCTTGACCAGTTGGTTCAGCATGTAGCAGCTGAGGTCACCCGACAGTTCCAGCCAGCATCTTTTCCGCCTGCTATTCAAGAGTCCCAAGTGCCATTTCCTACCACGGAGGTTTTTCCAAACGTGGCGGGGACAACAGCCGTTCAACAGTTGACCACAGAGGTCCCTGTGGTTGGTTCTTCTCCTGTTGGCAATACCTCAGCTGGGGAACAGGTTGCTCAAGTGGTCCAGTCACTCCACTCTTCATTGACAGGTGAGAGTCAATCAACAGGGGCAGTCCATCCTAAGGACATATTCACATCCGTCAGTCTGCCGGCAGTCGATGCCCGGGTGCCTTTAAAACTAAAAAAAAATCTGGAATAATGAATTTATTGACTTTGGTCTGCTCTTGGCCAACCAATTCACAGAAGGAAAATATCAGCTCACCATTAATCCTGGTGATGGCTCTTGGGTCCAAGCTTTCCATGTGTTCGTGGGAGTTTTTACAAGCCGCTCTCCAAGTGAAGGTACAGGCCTTATGAAGTATGGCTCTACCATGCAGGACCTTGCCACCAGGGGTCACAACTGGCGTTTTTACGATGAAAATTTCCGGTTTTTAAGGCAGACGCCTGGTACTTCCTTTCCATGGGGTACCATTCACTGGGAGCTTTGGCTCCACTCGTAGAGCCCGGTCAGTGTCAAGAGGGCGCAAACCCCTGCAGGCACTAGAAAGCTTATGGCCAATCTTAGAGTACCGAGGGTTTTTGTTTTACTTTCCATAGGGGTGGTGACTGTATGGGCTGTTCTTTTAGGCCTGATTGCTTTAAATGTGAGGGCTCCCACCATGCTTTAAACTGTAATTTTCGTGCCAAAGCTGGCGGGATTCAATCACAAAACAGAGGTACCACCAAACCTTCCCCCCATTCAACCAACCCCCAGTCAAGCTTTGCAGTTACCAACCTCCGTCAACATTAGGTGTATGCTTCCTTTCCTTTCTGGGTATAACCATTCAATTGCGCAGTTGTTGGAATCTGGTTTTACATCAGGTTTTCCTTTGTATTTCGATGGCCCTCGTTGTTCTCAGGAGGCCCCCAACCTTCTTTCGGCTCTACAGAATCCAAAGGCTGTGAGTGCTAAGCTTTCTAAGGAACTCGATGCCCATAGGCTTGCTGGCCCTTTTTCATCCCCTCCTTTTCCGATCTTTCGTATATCACCCCTGGGTTTGGTCCCCAAGAAAGTTGAAGGTGAGTTTCGTTTAATTTAACATCTTTCTTATCCAAAAGGCTCCTCCTTAAATGAGGGCATTTTTTCCGTTTACACAAATGTTTCGTATGCCACAGTGGAGAATGCCATTGACTTGGTTAAGTCTATGGGTCCCCATTGTTTTTTAGCTAAAACCGACGTTAAGAGTGCTTTTCGGTTAGTCCCTATTCGCCCTGAAGATTACGATCTATTAGGAATATACTGGGAAGGCCAATACTATTATGGTAGGTGCATGCCTATGGGTTGTTCGAGTTCCTGTAAGACTTTTGAGATGTTTGCAACTGCTCTTGAATGGATTTCCCGGAACAAGTTGCATATTCCTTATCTTTTACATTTGCTAGATTGCTTGATTATTTCTCCTTCGAATGAATCATGCCAACATCAATTGGATACTTTTTTAATGTTATGTAGTTTTTTGGGTATCCCCATGGCACCAGAGAAAACTGTGGGCTCATCGACAACACTTGCTTTTGCGGGCATTGAGCTGGATACAGTTCTCATGGAGGCCCGTTTACCACAAGAGAAGCTGGACAAATGTCGGGATCTTCCATCAGCATTTCTTGGTAGGCGTAAGGTAACTCTTAAGGAGATTCAGTCATTGACCGGTTCGCTCAATTTCGCCTGTACAGTTGTTGTCCCAGGTCGAGCTTTCTTACGAAGGTTAATTTATTTGACTATTGGGGTACGGAAACCTCATTTTTTGATTCAGCTTTCTAAAGAGGTTAAGGAAGATCTCTTGGTTTGGCAATCGTTTGTCTCAGCTTTTAACGGGCGCTCCTTTTTTCTGGCTGATCGGTGGACCAATTCTCACCAGCTAGAACTGTACGCAGATGCCTCTGGTGCCCTGGGTTATGGTGCGGTTTTGGGAACACATTGGTGTTATGGCCAATGGCCACATAGCTGGCATCATTTCAATATTGCGGTTTTAGAGCTTTACCCAATTATTTTGATTCTGCATCTATGGGGCCATGACGTGCAAAATCAAAAGATCCTCTTCTTTACTGATAATGAGGCCTTGGTTCATGTTATCAATAAGCAGTCATCCCGGGATAAGAACATGATGTTCTTCGTGCGGAGGCTGGTGCTTGTGCGTTTGGAAAAGAATATTTGTTTTGAAGCAAAGCATATACCGGGTGTGCACAATGTTCTTGCTGATGCTCTTTCTCGCTTAAAATTGCAGACCTTCAAACAACTAGCGCCAGCCTACATGAATGTTCATCCCACAGAGATTCCTTATCACCTCCTACCTCACAGTTGGCATCAGTGACCTCCTATCTGCTGCATTCAAGCCTGCACCTCTCTTCCATTCTCACTTATCGACGTGCATGGGCACTTTTCCATAAATTTTACAAGTCGGTTTTTCATGTACCATTCACTTCCCTCCCCATATCTCCTTCGATAATGGCTCTGTTTATAGCTTATATGTTTAAATTTCATTATGCCCCATCTACTGTGAAGACATACATTTCTGCCTTGGGTTATTCTCATAAGTTGAATAAAGGCTGATAGTTTCGAAAGAAACTGTTTGGGGCTGCGTCGGTGGGAGTAACGAAATAATTTGGATATATCAACAAAGTTGAAATGGTAAATTGGCCACCGTAATGATTACAAAAGCTGACGTTTCGAGCGTTAGCCCTTCGTCGGAGCGAATAGAGGAATTGTGGGTTGTGTGTGCTTTTAAAGGCAGAAAATGGAGCTACGTTATTGGTGGGTGCATGGCAACGAGAAAAACATGAATAAATTAGTGGAATGAAAAGCGTTCATTGATCCCTGTGGGATTTAGACTGCCGGTTTGAAAGATGAGCTTTTGTTCAAGATTTTTACGGCTTTCCGTGCCACCTAATCATTCTAAGCAACATATGGCAATCTGCGGTCTTTCTTTGCACTTAGGTGGCACGGAAAGCCGTTAAAATCTTGAACAAAAGCTCATCTTTCAAACCGGCAGTCTAAATCCCACAGGGATCAATGAACGCTTTTCATTCCACTAATTTATTCATGTTTTTCTCGTTGCCATGCTCCCACCAATAACGTAGCTCATTTTCTGCCTTTAAAAGCACACACAACCCCCAATTCCTCTATTCGCTCGGACGAAGGGCTAACGCTCGAAACGTCAGCTTTTGTAATCATTACGGTGGCCAATTTACCATTTCAACTTTGTTGATATATCCAAAATATTCTCATAAGTTGTTAGGTTCCCCTAACCCTTAAAAAGTTTTTTGTTTCCCAAATCCTCAAGGGCTATAAAAAGGTGGGTTTTCGCTTAGGTAGCCGTCTCCCAATTACCCTTTCTATTTTAGCAATAGCCCCATTTTTAGAGGGTTCGACTTACCAAATTAGTCAGTTTCAGGCTATGTGCTCTTTGGCCTTCTATGCCTTTTTGCGGATAGGGGAAATGACCACCCAAATTAATAGTAATGCTAACCCTCCCTTTCAGATATACCAGATCACAAAACTGATTTCCAAGATCAGTGTTTCAAGATCAGTCTTCTCCGGTCAACTTCTTAGGGCCTGTCACTTGTGTGGCTTAGATCCCTCCCGTTATAAAGGTCATAGTTTCCGAATTGGTGCAGGTTCCTTTGCAGCGGATTAGGGGTTGTCTCATGCTCAGATCAGAACTTTAGGGCGCTGGAAGTCCAATGCCTTTCTGCGCTACAGCAGGATCCCCACTTTAAGTCACTAAACCAGTAATCTGGCTCATCTTTCGTACTAGCATGGTTGGCTGCATCACTTTGTTGTTACTCTTAGTTGTCCTTTTTCCAAGGACTTGCCTAGCATACAACCTCTTAGATCATCTTTTGTTTTATTCCTAAGGGTCATTTTCTTTACATTCACTTAGTACTCATAACTAGTTGCCTGAAGATCGACTCACTTTGCATGGGCGGCTTTGTCAAGAGTTAGTTTTATTTATTCTTGTCCTCAAAAGTTCAACTCCTGATTCAGTTTGCATGGGCGGCTTTTCAGGATTAGCTGTCAATTTTGTGTTATGCATTGAAGGATTTGAGTCTTGGTGGCATAACTACTTAATTTTAATGTACCATGCTTGCATGGGCGGCTGGTATACATCTTAAGAGTAGAGGATTTGATTAGCGTTAATAGCTCGTTGTCTAGCGAAGGATGAATTTTTTCCTCGTTTCTGCTCTTGCCTGGGGTGGGGCAGCCATGCAACTTCGGTGTCATTGCTTTTGGCGTTTTTCTTGGCCCGCACCTTTACTGGGCAAACACCTTAACGGAATTCATTCTTGTTCTGTTTGTTTCAATAAAAGCGGCTATGGACCTATTGCCCATAGCCATATGGCTCCTTCTGAACTTTGTTATTTTATGGTGCCCAGTAAACAGAGCTCAGGCAAGAGTAGCATTTTTAGATTTGTTTTGGGCAGAGAGAGAAAGGCATAAATTTCCTTAAAAAGGTCAAATCAAATGAAATCTCTAGTACCTCAAAAACATATATCAGTAAACCAGTTGCCAGTATAGAACCTTATTATCTCGCAGCCACATGGGTATGGGTAAGCACAACAAAATAATTCGATATCTATTGTTGAGATCGACTGATTTCTATTTTATGACTTTGCTTAACTTTTTTTCCAGCTATAATGGCTTGTCATTCTCTCAATTTATAGTTTCTACCCTCCTTTCCAATATTTGAGGCACTTGCCTACCAAAAATACAACTGCCATGCTCACTTATTCACATTGTAATTGTTTTTTCCCTACACACAATCACGTCTTGTTATTATCGAAATTGTATTTTCGGGGGGGGGGGGAGAAATCAAAGAGAGCACAAAAAATCTAATATGACCCACATGTAAAAAGATATGTCAGATCTACTGGTATCAAAACCAGCATGCAAATGACATGCAGCTTGCCTCATCACTCCTTTCAACTACTAATATAAGAGTTAATGAGGGTTGGAGCTCGACAGATCTCAGTAAGATTTACAACCCAATTTAGTTCACTTTGTCAAATAATGAGCACTTAATTTGCAATCCACATCTGTTAATTGATAGTTTCACCTGCAGAACAATCAGCTTCTTAACCTTTCCTAATGATTGAAGTAATTTCAGTTTCTTTTCTTTGGGGGAGGGGAGGATTATTTTGACTCGAGTGTGTACTAAGAAACTATTGCGGATCACTGAGATGTTATATATATTCCGATGGAGCATCGCGTTAACAAGCGGGTTTAAATTCATACTGTTGGAAATTTAATCAGCCATTCTACAAAGACCTAAATTCAAGCAATGCTTTCGTTAATTCAATTAAAGATTGCGATATCAGATGCGATTACCAACATTCTGATGTTTCCACTTTCGTTTAGCGGGTAAATTTGTAAATATAATTATCATACAACAAAGAACCAAACTGAAACAATAATTTTGGAAAGAAGAGGGTTGTAACCTTACGATAAAACTACAGTCTGCCACAGACACCTTACCTTCAGCTTTGTCGAATGTTATAACTGTAGATCCTTTTTTATTCATAACAATTTCCTCGATATCGCCTCCACCATTCTTTCTACGTTGAAAGTGAATAACAAGATCAATCGCTGAAGTTCCCTCAGGAATGCCAATGACACTAACGCTACGATTAGCTTTTGCAGGGTCACTGCAAGTGTCTCCGTCCACCAACGAAAGTGAAGTGCCAAAGGATAACTTGCTGTGCTGCAGTTTCTCCTCCATGTTCGTCGAAATCCTGATGAAGAACGAGAACCTGGCGATCAACAACAACCACAATAGGTCAACTCTTGGAAACTGAAAGCGGAAGTATTTTCAGAACTCTTAATATGTTACAGATACTATTTCATATCACTGCAAGAAAAGCCAGTCGCGAGGAACGCTTCTTTTTAAAACTTACTAGCGCTTTCAATTCTTGCCTGGGTTGTGGTGATTAGTTGAACTAAACTTCCCAGATATCTAAAACAATTCCATGACTTGTTCGGCCACTTCCGTCTAAATTGGCTTTGTCCCAGGCTCCCTCACTCTCTTTCCTTTAACCGATAGCGTTGTAGAAGGTTCCCGGAGATTCCCATGTGACATTTCATGTGGGCTTGTTTTTGCCAAAATGTCCGTTATCGTTGACCGAAGAGAGACAGATGAGCCACATTTACTGCTTATAAGTGAAGAGGAGGCTAAAAGAAGTATTGTGGTCTATAACATACCGCCGAAGATTAAGGCTGAAACAGTCTGTATACATTTCCAGAGGAAGAAACATGGCGGAGGATATATCGATCGTGTACACATTTCCAGGGAAGGAACAGCCGTAATCACTTTCGAAAAAAACGAAGGTGTGCTTTATTTTTCTGTTTTAAGACACTGTTGTTTATGCGAAAGTGGAGGAAAGATTTTACCACCAAGTCGAGCTCATTTTGTTCTCACTTCCGGTTTCTTCGCTTACGGGTGATATTTTTTGGCTAAGACGAATTAAGAGGACAGAAATAAACTGCCTTAGAAATGAAGAGTTATTTTTTGAGGAGGAACATTAATATATTTCTGTTTAAAAAAAATACGGAATAGAAATAAGAAAAGTAAACATGTCTAGCTAAGAAACGGTAAGGGGTAGTTTTGCAGGATTGGAGTAATTAAACGCTTGTATTGTTTGGGAGAGAATAACATATGTCAAACCGGAGCAATTGCAGAATACCCGGCCGCCTCATTTACCCGTGTCGCGAGGCTTTGAAGAACGAAGCATAACACAATAGAGGCTATTCTTATTCAATGACATGTACCATTTATTTTTATAATTTGCAGAGGTCTGATATTGGTGTCAACTTGAATCATAATTTCTTGTAGTCCCTCATTTCTCAAATATGACCCTAGTAACTTTAGAAAGCCTTTTTCAGTAATCTCAAACCCAAGTGTACAGCGGTAGTAACTCAACGCAAAGCACAGTTTGTCTGCATTTATATCCTTCCAACATTACTATGGTGGGACAAAAAATAAATGACAATGCCTGTGCAATCATAATAAGAAACATTTATTTCAAAATTGAATGCACAAAAATGTTTTTGAATGGATCTGAGTTGAAATAATTAGGACAGAGTAAGAGGAATTCAAATAATGTATTTTGAAACCTACCCGTATTTAATTTTGTAGTTTCATTTACATATTTTTTACTCTTTAAATCTAGTAAAGAGTCAAACTTGATCATTTTTATACATATTTTCTTGCTTCAGTGTGGAAGAAGACCCTGTTCAAAAGTTACATAAATATTTAAATCAGTCTAAAACTGTAAAATGGGATGCACAAAATTTGACTAAGGAGGTTCATATTTTAAATGCAAAATGTTATTTTACTACATTTATGAAGTGAAGGTAACAGAAGAGCCATTCAATGCAAACACATTTTGTAGAATCAGAAAACTGTTATTTCCTTGAGAAGATTAAAACCTTTCCTACAGTCTCTGTACAAGGAATAAACTGTTCCTTTAAAAGAAATTTTACTGATAATTTTCTCCTTTTTTTGTTTTATGTAATTCTGCGTACTCAGTCATGTCAACAGTGTTACAGAAGTCCCACACACTTGTAGGATCATCATCACCATTAAAGATTCTCCGCTTTGTTCAAGAGGAGGAGGAGCAGGTGGAGGTAAAAATAAATATCAGAATAGGGAGATGTGTCCATCTTAGCCATGATGGAAAAGAAAAGTAAGAAACATTTGTTTGAACCTTGTCAAAATCTGTATGTTTCAAGGCCTCTTTTAATTTCATGCTCTATTTCTTCATTGTAGTTCATCATTTGTTTTCAATTACAGATCAAGATAATTATAATGAATCCTCTTTTCATAACTTCCACGGTCGCTTCATTCATTTTGCAATAGTTGAAACAACATCAAAGAATCCTTACAATTTCCACAGGTGTTTCAGCGAGCTGAGACTCGAATTGACCTCAATAAGTTCAATTCATCATTCAAGGAAATGTGCACCTTACAAGTTTTAAAGGATGAAGCAGAAGTTGAATGTGTTAGCATGCCCTGCTCAAGCGAAAGAGTTTTCTATGGGACATTCAACAACATTGTCAAGGCTTTAGATCTCCTTCAAGGTATTTTGAGGAAGAAAACCTCTACCACCACAATAGTAAAATTAATTGTGCAGTTATTGAATTTAATTTTTGGCCCTTTTTATTTTATTTTTATCATGCAGTTTGTATTTTTTATATTTCCCTGCAATTTATTTTTTGGTATGTAATTTTTTTTGCATTACACTCAAATTTTTTTGTGTGTGTTGCAATTATTTTTTTGATCAAATTTATTTTTGGTGCGTAATTTGTTTGTGTTACACTCAATTGTTTTTGTATGTGTTGCAAATATTTTTTTTTTGGTCAAATTGATTTTTTGGTGTGTAACTTTTTTCCACTACACTCAAGTTTTTTTTTGCATGTGCTGCGAATTATTTTTTGATTACATAATGTACTACAATAAGATAATTTTTTTGATTCTGTGATGCATTACAAGCTTCTTGTTTTGGGCATAGAGGACTGCAGCCAATATGTTTGTGACTGAGGTGATTCCACACTGAACATGATGAAGAGCACAAATTCTTGAAGCTATTTTGAATTGTCTCGCAGAAATATTGTAAGAGTAAGAAGTGAAAGAGGGCTACAGATTTTTCTCCAGGATATGAAGGGATTTACTAATCTTTTTGTTGCTCCGGATGGATGGAGGACTTAAAAAAAACAAACTTGTGTGAGTTCAAAGTTAAATGTGAGAACCAAACAAATAGAATTTTTGAGATCACTCCTCCTTTCATGAGAAATAGCTCAGTATTCCTTCAAGGTAGTGTACCAATATTTCAGAGATGTTGGAAGTTAGGAATCAGCAATGATATCCAACAGTAACCGTATTCAACAATATTGTGACATCTCTGATGAGAATTTAGATAAGGTCTACTGCTGGGAACTTACATCAAGTGGTATAAATTCAAGTGGAGGATTTTTTACTCCAAACATTATTTCTTAAAGAAATATCAGGACTCCCATACCGATCTCTAATCGTATTGCTGAAACTTTTACCTCATGTTTGTAAAAAATAAATTTTTTTTAATCGTTTTAATCGTTTCTGGGATTTTCTGAGGTTAAAATATCTTTAAAACCGACGTTTCGACCAGTTTTACTGGTTTTCCTCAGGATGTTTAAGTCCGCCATATTGACAACATTTAAACAACCTGAGGAAGACCAGTAAAACTGGTCGAAACGTCGGCTTTAAAGATATTTTAACCTCTGAAAATCCCAGAAACGATTCCGAAAAAAAACTTTTGGTTTTTTTTTTTTTAAATATCAGGACTTTCAGCTTTTTTAATGTTGGGAATTTTTAAAGTGCATATGACACGAAATTTTTTTCTCTTGTTTCTTGTAGTTGGATATCTATAGAAAACGTTTCGAAGCTTTAAAAGTGCTGGAAAAATGTAAAAAGCATTTTTTTTGCTATCAAAATATGCGCAATTTGCCTTCAAATTTGTCCCAGAGACAGGGACCTTTAAACTTTCCAATGCGGTTCTGTATGATTCTTCCCTCTCTACTAAACTTTCAATTTCTCATCTTTTCCACTTTTCAATGTGTTTAGATAGGATAATCTGGTGATCTTTTGCTTTTGATTTTCGGGTTGGTTTTTGCAGTGCGACGGCAAGGAAACAAACACGGCTTTCAATGATATGTGCTGGGGGCCTGTTCCATTATTCCAATCATTTATGCGAGATGTAAGTTCATCTATAAAATCCCTGCCAATTCGACCATAAGGAACAAGGAAAGCATTCTTTTTCCACGTTACGATCTCGTTGTAAGCGTTGGTTATAATAGAAGTTGGAACAATAATTGGAACACCATCAGAATCTAAGCTCCAGCTAATTTCGTTCGGTTTAGGAACAGGATTAAAATCAGGTAAACAACCCGGTAAGCTATTACATAGTTAGTAGAGGGGACTGACTATGGCTATTACAATCTTCTGAATTCGATGTTGTTTGTGTTGAGACCCTTGGGATTTGTAAAGAGCTGGGCATATGCAAGTCCGTGTCCTTGCTAGAATTAGCATGATCTTCTTCGCTACCAAATAAACCTAAGTTATCAGAGTCGTCCAGCTGTCCTATGTTAACTTCACTGCAACCCTCCTGTGTATCACCGGTATCCTCATTCGTTATCACTTGCAATTTTTCCAATCTTGCCGCCTGATCCCTAAGATTTTAATGTGGAAAACCAAGTGCTTCATAGCCTTTGACACACCAAAGTTCTTCCATAAGCTTGATATAACCTTTCTTTTTACCATTTCCATCAAGCGGTGGGTTTTCGCATTTAGTCAACGCGATGGCTTCTCTTTTACAACTCAGTAAATCAGTATTCATTCGGTCAGTCCATTTCCTTCTGGACCCTTTAGACCTTCTTTCTTCCATACTGAAAGAATTCTTGATTACAGGGAGGTCTTAATCTATCTCTTCTTGCTACAACACCAATGAAGCTCGCATTCCAAGAAATCAAGTTGAAGTTGATATCAAGTTGATAATAATAATATTAAAGACAATAATATTGGTAGTGATAATAACATTTTCTAATAATGATAATTATAATACAATATAGTAGTTACCATAACAAGGATGATACGTATGCGTTATTGAGCAAGCGTGAGGTCAAGATGGCTGTAAATTGGCTGGGTTCTTTTCTGCCTTGTTATGACTTGAGACGAAGTAGAGGTTCATTGAAACGCAAAAAGTGAACGAGGCTATTGTCCAGCTATCTCGACCGAATAAGTTTGTTCAATAAAGGATTTAGTATAAAAGATTTCGCGCTAGTAAAGATCAAGAATGACTTATTTATTTCGAGAGCTGGGCATGAAAGCCAACTGTATTTGTAGTGCAATAAACTCACTAGGGTCATTTACGTTTTCTTTGTTTTGACTTTCTTTTGCCCCTTTTTGCGACTTCGTCGCTGGTATTGTTCTAATCTCTTTTTGTTGCATTTTGGGGACTTCGATCAAGGTCCTGGAAGGATTACTACTGCACCTACCACTATGGTAGAGATGACCGACCATTCGGAGTCGGTGGAATCACGGCTGGGACGTTTGAGCGTCGAAGAGTTGGCGAGAACTGTAGTGATATCGAACATACCGAGACAAATTACGAAAGAGGAAATTATCATACATTTCCAGAAAAGGAAAAACGGCGGGGGAGAAGTCTATGATATTTGGATGACAAAGGATGGGCAGGCAGTCATAGTCTTCGAAGAACCTGGAGGTACCACGAGTTTCACAGTGTATACTCAGAATTATTACAAGTTTCGGAAACTTGACTCGAGGAAATTTGATCGGTGTTTAATCGGGGAAAATCCTTGTAATGACTTAGTTGTCATATTTCTTAGGTAGCTGTACGCATTCCGTTTTCTTGTCTGCTTGAATTCGTAAGGGTACAGAAACAGGTCTGTTGGTCACGAGTACTTGATATAGTGTTAACCAACAGCGAAATTTATTTCTTGAGTGGTAAAGACATCTCACCTCCAGTCAGTGGGAAGCTAGTCTCCGCCTTTAAAAAGTTAAGAAAAAAATTTTGAGGAATAGGAGACATTATCTGGAATGAAAGGGAGACCTTTAGCGATGAGCTCTCGAAAAGTGCTAGTTTCTGAGACTCGTACCTCGAAATTTGTATCAGCTAAGCTTAATTTAGCACGAAACAATCCAACTAGTCCACAAAAAGTGCGCCTTTTGACTTATACGCCGAACATAATGACGTTTTATAGCCGTTTCCGTGCGATATTTTATATGCTAAAATTAAACTCCAGACAATGAAAAATTATCATTTTTTTCTTCTTCATTAGCTGCTGACAGGATATTAGAGCGCACTCATGTACTTGGGGGTAAAGTGGTGGAGCCACGCCCAAAAGGTATTATTTCTACTGAACTGATTCGAAGATAGTAAGTTAACTGGAACATTAACTAGTTATTCTTCATTGTTCATTCACTGAAACTGAATTTCGCTACTAAAGCCTTCGTTTAGACGGCTCTTCTCCATTGCCCACTTCCCTATTTAACTTAGCAAACTAGAAAATGAAGCGAATGGCTCTTTCGATTGCTGACAACCTTTATTTTTCAAGCCAACGATGAAGTATGGCCATTGAGAAGAAAAACTCTTTCTCACAAGATCTTCATTTTCTAGTCGCTATTTTTCTATTTTGATATTTTCTATCCCCTTGTGCTTCGCATTATGAATCGTTGTTAGTCCTTT